ATGTCAAGAATGATTACATGATTTTTTGTGGTTTTACCAAATTAGCTACCACCGGAATGAGCAGTCTATTTTTAGGTTACAGACTTTGGGCAAGGGCAAGGATTGAAAAAGTGCGTTGAATGTTTGAATAAGGCCATGGATGGGTATCAGTTTGATTATAGTTTGGAGACTTTAAAAAGGTTGTTGAGGCCAAGTTCGTAGTTTTTAAGTTGAAGGAGTCGATTAGGCCTAATGGGATTACGTACACGTGTTTGATTGAAGGGTTTTGTGCTGTGGGTGATTTGCTTCCATCAAAATCGCTTATAAACACAAATGCAACCAACACTGCTTAGAACTCTTTCATCTAGGAGCTTTGATTTTTTCAGGGTTTGCTTCGATTCCTCATTGGCTGATCATAAAGCTGAGGAATTTTCCCGAGGATACACCGAAGGCCCATTTCATCGGATTTAGTCTCATTTGGTATTTTTTCAAGATGTCAAACATGAGGGATAAGTTTTGGAGGTGTTGATAGGCAGTTTGACTTTTCACCAACATGTCGTCAACATAACTTCCATGGTGTTGCTGATGTGCTTGGCGAAGATTATGTTGACCAGTCATTGATATGTTGCCCCTGCATTTTTTAGGATGAATGGCATAACGTTGTAACTATATAGGCCTTTATATGTTATAAACGTCGTATGCTCACTATCCGCTGGGTACATGAATATCTGGTTGTAGCCTGAGTAGGCATCCATAAAGATAAGCAATTCATGATTGGCAATGGCATCCAACAAATTAATTTGGCTATAATTCAAATTTTTCAAAATTTCATATTAAAAAAATTAAAATAAAAATAAAAATCAAATAATAAATCATATTTTTATGAACACAACTATCCATTATCTTTTTTTAATTCTAAAATAAATTTTAAAAGTTTTTAAAAAAAAACCTCTCACAGACGAAGAAGCACGTGCAGAGGCTAGTCTAAATAACATTGTAGGGGCTTTTTTTCTTCCGGCAGCTACAAATGGGATGAGTTGCCGTAAAGAGCAAAATGGATGAAATTCCCCCCTTGTGTTTGCATTCAAAGATCAAGCCCCAAAATGTTTCAAAAGGACAGAGATGCCTTAGGAAACACCCTGGTCATCTTCACCAACAAAAACAATGGCTGCTTACAAAAAAATTCTTAGTGCTTACAGGTATAATCTTAGCTTGGGATGAGAGGCTTGTGGCATGAGAGAAAAGTTGTCATGAGTTTAGCTTCAAAGGCAAAGAGCTGTGAGTTTCTATGAAAAACAAGGGTTCTAAGGAAAAGAAGGAAAGGATTATCAGAGGTGTTGGCTGAGAAGAGGAAATAGGCTAGGCAATGGGTGTCTTAAGTATTTTTTCGGCAGCTCGACAGAGGTTCTGTCAAACATCAAAATGATCTGCCAAGAGGAAAAACAAAGAGGAGAAGGATGAACTGAGCACGAAATTGCTAGGCTTTAGAGATAAGAGAGGAAGCTTGCTCTCTGGATGTGGTTGTTGGTTGTTGGTTGTTGGGTAGGAGGTGCTTCATTTATAGCCGCTAGAAGCTCCTCCTTCCCAAGAAACCCTAATGGTTTCTATCCAATTTGACCAAGTCTTTCCCTCCCTTTCTCCCATAATCCCTTTAATCATCTTATTTTGGTGAAATCTACTCTGCCCATTTGCACAAAATCAAGGATTTTTGGGAGCTCAATGTTCTTCCCGCAGCCACTTTAATGGAAAACTCCTATTCTCAGCCATCCCCTTTTCTTTCTTTCCTCCCTTTTTTCATGGCCATATCTGATAAAGGAAAGAAATAGGTATACATGCTGGTTCGAAGGGTGCTCCTCTCCCTGGCAGCCTGCGCGTTAAAACCCCTGGTCATTTGGATGTTTTTGCTTGAAACTTGTTCCTTCCCATGTGCTGGAGCTTTCCAGCAACTCTGCGCATGCGGATTCCCAAGCTCCCTTCGTGGCTTTGTTCTCCAGCCAAGTGCTGGGGCTTTTGCTGCTTCTTATTTTAATTGTATGGGCCTTCTAGGACAATGGGTTAGTTTATCAAATAAATGGGCCAGCCTCACCAAGTGTTGGCCTATGTTGTTGAGGTGTTATGGCTAATTTTGGTTAAGCTAATGGGCTATTTTGGCTAAGGTAATGGACTATTTTCTCCTTTGTGCTCATCCACATGTTTGGATCTAAGAGATGTGATTGAGTTCCGAGGCTTCCAAGCAACCCGGAACTCCATTTCTCAGCCCATCAATGGGCCTCATGACAACTTATTACTATACATACCACAACCCACTCAAGCAAGCCCCGGGCATTCGAGTGGTTTGGGCCCACTTAGGCTTGTAACGTGGTTGGGTGTGCAATAATGATTTCCTGCTTGGTATGACATGTCGCTTGACATGCTTTTAATTATGATGCTTGGCAGGATAATTAGCATGGATTTGTAGAGTTAATACATTTTATAATCATAATCTCAATTCCTAGCATGACAGATTATTTATTTGGCATGGCGCATGGAGTATGACTCGTGCATGGCAGATTTTTGTGTGCTCCAAATTGTGTAATTTCTTAATAATGCGTCGTTTTGGGCCGGGATTTCATTTAGGCCAAACCGTGGATTTTTTGGGCCTCAACAAACGCGAGATATTTAAAGTTCATGACACATTAATTATGTCATTAATATTATAAAATTTAAATTGTTAACAGCATGTAGCGGTGCTATAGACGCACCAAAGAATTTATTTTGCAGTATGAGTATGTTATGGGCCTGCTGCCAATAACTATGGCCCAACTCATCTGAGGCTCATTCAGTCGTTGGTTTGTAGCCCACAAAGGCAAGGCTGCAGATTGACCTAACCCAACTAGTTGACAATCAGCAGCAACTCTACTGAGTTGGGCCGACCGAGTCAGGTTCCAAGTCATACAGTTTTTTTGGAGTGCTTCTATAGTGAGTGGAAAGTTATAAGGGGTGTTTTTGAGGGGTATCTAAGAGCCGTCGGATAAAATCCAATGGTGAATTTTCAATGTTGTCTTTTTGGTAAAACCGGGTTGAAATTACCCATATCAAAAGAGGCAATCCGAAAGTGCAGAACACGCTCTTTCATCGTTAACCCTCCTTCCTCGCCAGCCACCCACTCTGTAATATGTTATTCTCTCTCTCTCTCTCTTTCTCTCTCTGGTTTGTGGTTATCAAAGAACCAAAATCCGTTTAGTAAATATCTTGCAACCAACACAGACACAGTGGAGGGTTTTGAGTCTTCTTTTATTATTGACACTTTATCACCTCAAAAATTCATTTTCTGACGCCCAAGTTCTCCTAATTCCTCTCCTCTCTCGCACTCTCCCAAATCTTGCCTCAGCTTCAGCTCGCCAGCCATCTCGCTACTGTCCAATCCCATTCTCCACCCATCCATCGTCATAACCCAGCTCTCCTCAAATTCAGAACCCTAGTTTGACCCTAACCAAGCCGCCGAAACTCACGACCTCCGTCGTCAGCCTCCATCGTGAAGCCACAGTCGCGACCTCCATCGTCGTTCTCCACAGTGGTGAGTTCTGATATTTGTTTTGTACTCTCTGTCTGTTATAAATTCGTTGATCCCCTTTTCTTTATTATTGCAACATAGGTGCATTCATGGCGCCGCTCCAGCCTCCTCTCCTTTGCTCTCTAACTGTAAGTTCTCTTCTTCTCCGTCTTCAAATTTCAGTACTCCTCCTGACCTGAACCACCTACTTCTCTGGTTCTCTTCATCTTCATGTCATTCAATTTCAATTTTTTTTTTCCTTTCTAAATTCTACTTTTGGGGTTTAGGAATTAGGGATTCAGTTGGGCATTTAGAACTTAGGGATTAATTTTCAAAATTCTAATTTAGGGATTCATTCAATGCCTAATTTATGAGCTTTGGCTTTATGAATTATGAAGTAGACTACTTGTTTTTAATTGATCATTGGTAATGGTATTATTGTAGTTTTTAATTGATCTTTGCATATTTCAGATTTTAGCCTTACAATTTTAGTGGCTGGGCAGCTTGCAATTTTGTGTAGACAGGTTATTAAATTCTTTTAGTATTAATGGAAGTTGTGTTACTAAATTACCAGTACCTACGCTCTTGGTTGACATGGTTGTTATGAATTGTAAGATTAGCTTACTATTCGATGGACCCACTTGCTGATATTAGGAAATGGAGTTATTAATTGAAATGAATGGGAATCTGCTTGTTTCTTATGCTATTAGATTTTGTGTGAGTGTGATGCTAATCAGCCATTGAAATACACATATTTTGGTGTTAATATTTGAAGTATTGGAACATGGGAAAGTTGAAAACAGGCATCTTCATGAGATGCTTGAGCAAGATTTGAAGTATTGCAAGAGCATTAAGTAGACCTCCCTTGATATGGCTTGCTGTAAAATGTAACATATGGATATGAATTTCTTGTTCTAAAGGTGCCCTTGTAGATTATTTGTTTCAAGTCATGATTCTCTTACACCTATATAGAAACATAGGATTGGTTTGTTTTTATTTTATATGGAATTGTTTGTTTTTTAGAAAATGGAGAATATTGGACTGCTTCATAAAATTGTGGTTGTTCTGTTCACTATTGCCTTCTTTAGGAAGCTTATATAAAGCACATGTGGAGCTTCTTAAGTCAGACAATTCCATATTGGCCCATTTTTTGCCAAACCATCTGCTGATTTTTTAATGGTTCTTGTTGTTCCTAATCATGTTCCCGTAATATCACTTTTTGCAGGGCCTTCATTGTGTCTGGAAGGTTGGTTCCAGCTAATGATGTTCTAGCTACACTGTATTCTCAACCAGATAAAATGGTAGATATTGTCGGTATTACGTCATTGCCATATGAAGATTCTATATTTGAAAGGAGAAGGAAATTGGACTTCCTTCATATGCAGGAAGAACTGATGAAGGTTGGAATATTTTTTCTTTTATCTTGATAGCTTTATAGATATCTATTGGTGCTTTAGGAAGCTACAGAACTAAACTTGCTAATATGTATTTCATCAGGAGGAAAATATGTGTGTATTTTGTTAAGCCAGTTTTGATGCATTTGTTTTGGACTTGGCTGAAATTCGGAATCCAAAAAATAAAAATAAAAAAAGGATGAGCAATCAAATAATAATGTTGAAAACAAAACTCCTGAAATCAATATTATGACTATCATCCAGAGATTCTAAATTATTATATTGCAGAAGGAGGAAGAGAGAGAAAGAAGAGCAAGCCAAGATGAAGGAAATTAAAGCCAGTGAAGAGGATTTGGCATTGAAAGAGATGATTATTCCAACAGCAAAAGAAGCACAAGAACAAGCTAGGGCAAGGACACTAGAAGAGAAGATCTGCGAAATAAGTTGTGCATTGGCTGTTTTGGCTTCTGCATCTGTAAGGACTGGACTTAATAACTCTCAATGATTATGATTGTTGATTTTTCATTTTTCATTTTCCAAATTTTCAAGCACTATCATCTACACTATGGCTTAACAGTTTTTAATTTTTTCTGTTATTGACTCATTATTTCAGTCAGTTAGTAGGGAGCGTGAAGCGTTCCTGAGACTTGTCAATTTGGAGGTAATTTAAAACCCTTAATTACTCCTAGTTTATATTAGGTATCTATTAAGATGGAAGCATTGATCGTTGGTACCCTTACCATAGGTATACATGGCATGCTAGTCTTCTCATGCTCGATATATGCAGACACATTGGAGGTTTAACTGCTTACAATTTATCAGGAGGACCGCACATCACAAATATTGTCTGCAGTTCTGATTTCCATGTTTCTGCTTGTACTGTGGATGTATTGGAAGAATTTGGATGTTGATGTCCACTATGCTTTGGCCCCTTTTAGTTTGAAGGATGTGTAGATTGACGACTTTTTAACTTTTAATGTGATTTACTTATGAGCTGTCTTCTACACATTATGTGCATGCATGCAACTCTGTCTTCAGCGTCATGTTCAAGTCAGAAGAATACTTCTGTATGTTCTTGTTTTAGTCCAAATGCATTGTCTTTGGGAATATTTTGCTTAAGTTGATTCTTTTGATCTTTCCAGATTGAACTTTACAATGGCATGGTGGAGAAAGAGGGTACATATGGTGAAAAGGATGCCTTGAAGGCATATAAAGTTGCTCAGGATGAAAGTGACAGTACTTCTGTTGAGGCTGAAGGTGACGAGGTTTCATCAACGCTTATAGACAAGGTTATAAATTAAATTCTGAATTATCTACTTTTAACGTACTTACCCCTCGTTCACTTGATGGATTATCGTATCTTCTGTGTATCAGGTGGATGCAATGCTTCAAAACCTTGAGACAGAAATTGATTATATATGCGCATATTGGTGATCTCTGACAATTACTTGACTGGTGAACTCGTCTTGTTTCGTCTTTGGTTTTCTTTTCCTATGAGTTCTGTTAGAAATCATACTTCCTACTGAATGGAAGCAATCCTTCTTTTCTTGTCTTTCAATCTGTAGTCGGTTTAAGTTGTTATTAAACTCATTTTGAGGGATACTAGTAATGTTAAACTTTGATGGATGGTATTGCATTGGAATTTTGTCTATGTAATTAAAGGTATGAGGTTTACAATATGTGTGCATGGATTTTGATGGGAAAGTAACTCCTGATGAGGTTGCAGTTGCTGCGAACTACTTGAATTATACTTTAGGCAAGGAGGGCATCCAAGAACTCATAGGCAACCTTTCCAAAGATAAAGGTGAGTGAATTTTGTTTACACCGTATATGTATGGGAATCTAAATCTAATATGATGATGATGATTTTTCCCTGAAGTTAATTTGATTGATTGATTCATGAAGATGATGATGATGAATGTTGTTATCTTTGTGTGTCACAGATGGGAAAATTCGTGTGGAAGATATTGTGAAATTGGGCAGCCGGACAGAAGATGCAAACCAAGCTGAAGATGAGGGGTTAGAGAATAATATAGATGAGTCACTGACTGACTTTATTCATGATATATATCTGAGACTCTGAAATGGTTGTGGAGTGGATTTGGTTAAATCCACTCTCTAGGTTTTGTTTTTCAATATACACGCAATGCAACAAACCAAAATTGTTTACCTACTTGCATGCAACACTAGTTAATGTTCTTCTTTTCTTAGGTCCAAAGACCCATCTTCCTCATCCACACCATTAGCCACCGCAAGCACCACCAATGAGTTTGCAAATCCAATTTGTAATATTTGTTCTTGAAATGGGTGGATTGGCATTGGCTTTAAATTTTTGTTTGAAACAGAAGCATTTATTGCTCTGAAACTCAACAAAAACTTTCCAAGACAGACTTTGAAATTTATTTGTTATGAATTTTAGAAGTGAAATCGAAAAAAAATAAAAATAAAAATATAGAGAATCACACGTGGCTGCAGTTGAAAGGAGACCAGTCATTGTTTTCGACAGGTGGCATCTTATGATTGCGCCACATGTCATTTTGTTTACTTTTTCCAAATTTATCTTAAAAAATTATAAAAAATTAATTAAAAATCAGAAAAATACACCAAAAATTGCTACAAACTCCTTACATTTTCTTTGACTATAAAGTCCTAAATTATTATTCTATTACTTTTTATCCTAAATTGTTATTATATTATTATTTACCCTAAAATATTATTATATTACTTTTACCTTGAATTATTATTATATTGTTATCAATCCTAAATTATTATTATATTTTAGTATTTATCCTAAATTATTATTATATTACTTTGTACCCTAAATTGTTATTATATTGTTATTAACCCTAAAATATTATTATATTATCATTTACCCTAAATTATTATTCCATAATTTACCCTAAAAAGCGCGTGTTTTTTTGGGCGTACTCTTCTAATTTTTTATTATTTTTTAATGAATTTTTTAAGATAAATAATAAAAATATATGACAAATTACATGTGTCGCTGTGATCGAATCATGAACTAAAAAACACGAACTCAAAATGTGGAACCATGGTTTTAGACCTTTATAATCGAAGATAATGTCACATGGAGTTTGTAACAATTTTTGGTGTATTTTTTTTGTTTTAAATTATTTATTTACGAATTTTTAAACAAAAACAACAACAAAAAGGATCAAAATAGACAATGGTGCAATCACTGGAGGACAGCCATTAGACACACTGACCTCGCCCATTCTGCTTCCGCCATGTGTCGCTCTACACCATTTAATAATAATTTTCTAGGATTTAACTTACAAAATTCATAATAAATGAAATAAAAATCCAAAAAATTCACCGAAAATTGGTATGAACTCCTTGTGACATTCTCAATGCCCTAAAGCTCCAAAAATATAATTTTGACTCATAAAAATTGCAATTGATAACAAAAACTCAACTTTGTTTGAAAACAAACCAAAACACGAAATTATGTTCTATAACATTATGATCTTGTTCTTTGATTTAACGCTTAACATGAACTTAAATATGTAGAATCACGATTTTATACATTTATAGTCGAAGATAATGTTATAAGGACTTTGTAGCAATTTTCGGTGTATTTTTTTTATATTTAATTAATTATTTATGATTTTTAAACATAATTTGAGAAAAGTATCAAAATTGACACGTGTCGCAATGACAGGAGGACAAGCACCAGACACACTGATTGAGCCCCATTCAACTTCTGCCATGTGTCGCCCCATACGATTTAATATTATTTTTCTAGGATTTAACTTTTAAAATTGATAATAAATTAAATATAAATCCAAACAATACACCGAAAATTGGTACGAACTTCTTGTCACATTCTCTACTCCCTCAAACTCCAAATATATAATTTTGACTTATAAAATTTGAAAATGATAACAAAAATTCAACTTGTTTCAAAACAAACCAAAACACTAAATTATGTTCTATTAACATAACACTCATGTTCTTTGATTTTAACACTTACCATAAACTCAAAGGGTACACTAACATTTGTTGGAACAGAGTGATTAGAAAGTAGCGTGTAAAAAAGTACATTGCAGCTAATCACATTTTGAACGGTTGGAGAATATTAAAGGGTACACTAACATTTGAACTACTCATAATTCCACACACAAAAGAAAATTTGATTGCAAAGCATTTTATGTGCTCCCTCTTAGCAATACCACGATCTCCCCAACCAACCGAACAACAGTAGCCACAATCACTCGGTCGTATTGGTCAGCTTCTTCTTAGCAGGTCTCAAATGCTTATGGTCACTTATGTCCCCAGTGATATAGACGAAATAAATATTCAGCAATATTTGGAATTTTATTATATATAAATAAACCATAAACCATTCACTAAACAATGTATAGCACATGGTATGTTACTTATGACTCACGTGTCAGTTTTTTGAGAAAAAGTACGCCAGCTCGTTGATGTGAACGGACATGATAATGGGGCTTTACTGATTCCTAACTCGCTGTGATATTGATTGCTTATTGAATAATATTTCAATATTTGTGAAATATAATGTTAGATAGAAGGAACACATGATGACTTGCAATACATAGTCCCAATAATTATATATGAAGCAAATGAAACTGATATTTGTCTTATTTTAAATTAGATAATGACATTAAAGGAATATACTTCTAATTTGTGCAATACCACAATCACCCCCAACCAACTGAATAACGGTAGCCGCAATCACTTAGTTGTATTGGTCGGCTTCTTCTGAGCAGCTTTGACGTGCTTATGCTCACTCATGTCACCATCATCATCTAGTATCTCTCTCACAGCATCAGGGGACACATAGTCCCAATTATAACTTGTATGAGTAGTTGCCGCGAATGCTCGGAATTTTTCGAATCCTTCGTTGAATGCCAACTCCAGTTCACTGTGGTGCTCTTCGCATCGCATATGGTTCATCAAACAACCTTTAATTTCATCATTCATTACTGTATCCAACTCCTCAGCTTTCAACTTCCTTTTATGACTCAGCTTCAAGTACTTGTTCTTTTGGGAGAACGCTTTGTTCACTCTAATGTTAAGATCAGCCAAAATGGCCTCATCTTCAACACATTTCTCGTGCCATGAATTGATCAGTCTGGAATTATAATCCAGCTTGGTACTGACTGCATCTATTGCCTCTAATGGATCATCGGAGTCCCCCTCACTCCCAAATGATGTTGAAAATGGAAGGGGTCGGCGAGTACAACGTGGAAA